GACACTCGGAGTCTACGCTCTCGATAGCAAAGAAAAAATTCCATTCATGCCTTTCTGGGTATACTGTTGCGACCCACTTTTTACTTCTATTCGAAGTTGTTGAAATCCTGTTTAAACTCCCTTCAGGTCTAACACTACAATTGCGTAGATGGCTAATTAAGCATTGAAGTGGTTGTGGTGTTTTTTTTCCCTTCGAAAAATTATGCAGATTATTTGTCAGTAAACTGCATGACATTTTTGGGAAGAAGAAAGGCCCTGATAATTGTCTATCACAGTCACCGTTGGTAGTAGTTGGGTAGTAATTGTGGCTGTTTTACACTTGCTTGATTGTGAAAGCCCACTGAGATAAGTTGGATTAAACTGCTATAGTTCCTCCCTATAAGGCCATCAATAGTGCTAACCATCGTGGTCCTTCTCTCATGCTGGCAATTAGAAGACCAAGACTGTGTACAATTTACGGGTTTGGGAAAGTACTTAGTTTTGGTAATGCCAGCAATGGTTTGCTTCCCCAAGTACCTCACTGGCGGTGCGACTTGCAGAAAGTCGGAGCGATGCAGTCCAACGACTCGTCCTCATTAGTGGAGGTGCACCCGTGCCGTTGGAGTATGAGTGGAGCATCGTTGGAATTAATCCTGACTGCCTCTCCCTCTTTACGCCCTGCATTCGACTCGGCTTCCAAAGGCAAGTGAACATGCCTTGCACTGTCATTGTTCCAATGTTTGAACGGCAGTTGACATTGTACTTTATAGTTATGTCAAAGTTCTTGGTCAGGTTTATGGATTGGCTTTTAGAAAGTATGGCTTCCATTAGGCCTTGGCGGCATACATTTTGATCTTGAATGGCCTTATTATTAACGTGCAGGGAAAACTGTGGGACTTTTAGCACCGCTTGTTTTAGCGGGGCTCGAAGGTTTAACGCAATATAAATCAAGATTGATGAACGTCACAGCATCCCATGTGAACTTTAGAGGCAACGACAAACGAAGGTTTGCTGCGTTCTCTCAACCACCTCCTGCCCTCTTTGAAGCCAAAGTTTGTCTACGCCTCTGGACTTTGCAAATGAGTTGACTGATGCTACTGAAAATTGTTAGCATAAATTTGTTACAACATACACTGGCAGGATTGTTAAGGAAAATGCTGAGCTGCGTGAAAATGAACGGGTCTTCTGGAGACCCTTCAAAGGACTCGTAGTGGCAAACATTATAACCAAACTATTTGCTTGCACCAATCTGCGTGTTGGGACTAAGGCAATTCCCACCTTCAATAGCGAATTTGGTTGCCTTAGTGACTGTTGATGGCTTGTGTCTGGTAGACTGTTCAATACATTTGCCGCAACCATTGATTCTCTGTTCGTCCTTGTGCCTGTTGCTTTTTTGAGAAGTAATAATAATTTCTAAGTCGTTTACCGCTCATCCAACAGGGTTGACTTAACCACTGTTTTGTGATTAAAGTGAGGATAATTTAGGTGAAACACATCAGCCTACTTCGATTTCTCTCGTCAAAAATTCCACTTGTATAGTGCAGCATACTTACTTCAAAACCCTAAAAAAAAATTGTTATGTAATGGTTAGATAGAAGTCGTTTTCAAAGATCGACAAGGCTGGCTGCGTTGGATCATAGCATTTATGAAAGAGAGCGAACATGCCTCCCTACACCCTGTCCAGCTTAACATCCTGTCTGCCAAATGATGTGTTTACTTCGGTATGGATGAAAGTGACTAGACGGTTAGTGAGTACTCAACCAATGCAGGCTGACATACAATTGATTGTACTGCAGCAAGTAATTGTAAAGGTAAACTTTAAAAACTGCACCTTCACTTCGGGTTTAGGTTGGCCTTCTCAAAGCGAGGCATCTCGAGCAGATCAAACTCTGAAAGCCAGTCTCACTGCAGTGCAGATTCTGCGGAACGAAAGGCAGCCTTTCAATTTAACGCGTATACCTTGTGGGCCACAATGGCAGGACAAAAGTGGCCAGAGGGTGACCGACACTTCTACGGCCGTCTGCATGTCCCTGTCCTCCTCATTTGCGGTTGTCAAGATCGACTGGTCTCCGAGGCGGAGGAGGAGGAGGCCCTTTTTGTAGGCTGCATTTTACCTGTTTTCCTTCTCCCATGTATTTAGTTGCTTTTCATGCCTCAGGCAGATATTTCGAAGTAACTCAATCGGCTAGAATGAGAACTATCCCTAGAGTCTATCCACAGCGAAAGAGATTTTACTTTCGTACTCATAGATTGTAATAGTTGAACAACTCCTGAGAAAGATAATCATGCGCACACGCCTAGGTGTGCTCTGTGCTAATGGTGGCATCCCTCCTACGCTGCTCCAACGTATTCCATCCACGTATTCCCAAGTAATCAGTTTATCAAATGTCAAATACAATGACAATGACAGGTGTGATGAGCAGTTACGGGAATTAAATGTGTTTTTCGTTTTTTATTATGACCCATCACTCATTAAATCATCCATAATGGGCATCACCTTTCCTCTGTTCGCTGAAATTCTAGGATGCTTTTTCTGCCTTCTGTTTATAAAGCAGTAAGCCTCGCTACCGTCTGCATCATAAACTTACTGGTTTTATTCATTGTCAAAGGTCGAGATGTCTTGTTTAAAAGCATTGCCTCTTGCTATGGGACGTGGACTTAGATTTGCCTCCTCAATGAAACGAAAGCACCAGCAAATGTCTCAATTGAGCAATTTTGAAGTTCGAATGAACTGCACTGGAGTGGTTAGTTGGTTTACCGGAATTTTGACGGACTGATGCTTATAATGATAACCAAGATTCTAATAGCATCGAACAAACTGCTTGCTGCATTAGACATCGCAAACTCCTCTCATTCAAAAACCACATGTTTAGTTAAACAGGTCTGTTTACAACCCAAATCGCGTCAGCCGAAATAGCTTAAGCTACTCGCACCAAGGCGCAGAACCTTATAAGTGAAGGGTGAACTAATCCCAGGATTAAATTTCAGAGCCTTCGCTGTGCACAACTGCGTCGACTACCAAAAGCCGGTCATATGGGGATGCTAGAGGATCCAAATCAGGTTAACGAATTCATCGAAGAACACATAATTAATCCTCCGCATCCCCTCGGTCTTTCCAAACGGAACCAGTCCTATACGTTTGACGGTCTTCCAAAAGAGCCAATCACCTCTCAGCCAAATTGCGGCGCCCTTCTTGACGATGGAACCTCGTTGAATGTGATAAATGAAACTGAACATGCGAGGGAGAGGAATAGTAATTGTGGAGTTGATACCGACACCGATTCACCCTGCATAGCCAGTATATTCAGACCTCGAATCCACTCAAAGCGTTGGCGCAGTTCAAAGAAAAGTACACCCAGGTGAAGGTGAACTTAGCTGCTGTTTCACCCACACCACTATTTACATGGTGAAAGCCCTTATTTTGATCTCATTGGTGATGATTTCTAGCAGTTACAATCCAACTATTGTATTTGAATTATTTTTTCTCATTGGAATGGTCTCATGTGCATTAAAAAAAAAACTTATGACCATGGCCAAGGTTAACAAAATGGATCAGAAATTGATCGTCAGATTCCCTAATAAACTTTGCACTTTTGCAAGCAAGGCGGACAAGAGCAGTCGACGCATCGAGATTAATACAATTTGTCGTTGTGCTATGAGGCCGGGTGGTCCACGTAGTCTTGCGTGGGGTGGACGCAACTCCGTTGCATGTTTTGCATAAAGTGACGTGCCAGCGGAAAGATTCCATGATGCCTCTGAGTCCCCTATTGCATATGCAATTCACGAATTACTTCAAAGGTTCATGATATATCCGACCTGTTTGACTAAGGATTGCGGAACAAGGTTATCTAGAGGACATCCATTTTTATAATGCGTACCTTTACTACTAAAGGGAGAAGAAAACCATGACAGGGGAGAATATGCTTGCGAAAACAGAGGATGGAATTAATCCGGCCAACTTTGAAGGCGCGATGATGATGAGCCTAAACCAATCAAATACTAAGTTGGTCGCAGGGCCCTTGATGGGTGGATGGGTATCAAAGCTGCATTAGTAAACTCTCCACTTCCCCTATATGGGTCTCCAGAGCAGTCTCGGGATACTGTTGAAGTGCCTTCATTTCTTCCTCCAGCATACCCTTTCGGAGATCTCGTAACGAATGTATTAGAGCTTTGAAAAGCTCAACCTAAAATCGCAAACACAAAGAGGTGTGCAGCGTGGTAGCTGTAGGGCCCGAGAATTCTCTAGAGTGGAAAAAGGCCGTAAGGCTAAACGTATGCTAGTCACATATACAAAGCATTAAAGTAGCAACGAGGATAAAGCATTTGGCCCTTACTTAAGCTCAAAGAGCTTGTCCACCTTATGACCCTGCTAGAAATTCCTTTTGAACCTCCTCCCTATAATGTGTGATTAACCAGCTACTTCGCACAGAAACTGTACTTATATTAGCCGTTATATTTATGCTAGATGCGCACTGCATGCCTAAATCGGGGTTAAATCTACAAGGAAGGTAACTCCGCATCTTTCAGACTGAGATCCTAATATGGCAAAGGTTTCGTAAGTTAATCTTATTTAGTTATACAAAGAATAAACCTAAGCAACTATTTTACTATCATCAAGTGATAACCTATCCTGGACCTTCAGTTTAATGCTAGTGCAATTTTCACTACCTATTAGCCAAAAATGCTCCATTTCGAAAGGAGTCCAATATCAATCAAGCGGATAAGAACTCTTCTAACATTGACTTTGACCGAGTTTCAAGGTCAGCATTGGTGCCTGATATGGCGTCCGCAAGGCTGGCCTTGCTTAAGCGAGAGGGTAGGCCCATTTTTCGTAGGAATCCTCGTATATTTCCTCCTGCTAAAAGTAGGTTCTGATCAATTGAGTGCTCAGTTTCGTGTAGGCAAGCTGTTGCGCGTTAGAGAGCCTCGCGTTCGTGATCCTGTCGAGACTGAGTTGTTGAACAAGTGGTGGTCTGATTATAGGCGTCAGATGGCTGCAATCGTGTAATAGCATTTTTGAGAGGTTTATCCTGTAGAGATGCATTGAGGTACTGCTTTGAGTCCAAAGGCGACAGAGATTCGGATCCATATCGTGTGAATGAAAAGGTCTTCGATGAAGAACTGATTGCCATTAACGAACGATGGAACGCTCAAACTAAGCTGGCTCGCGAGCATTATTATTTTGAAGACTTTAATCGGAAAATTGCCAAGCTTCTAGAGAAGCGCGAAAAATATGACGCAGAGGCTGTTAAGCGCATGGAAGCATTGAGGGCGAAGACCTTATCGATGGAGGTTTGTTTTCCCATTTCATACGATGGCCTTGAGGAACTTTATTTTTTACTGCTAAAATTTGCATTTATTTATTTTAGGGTCAGTGCAAGGGAATAGTAACACGTGAAAATATTGATGAGCGTCTTGAGGAAATTATGTCTTCGCCCATTGTCCAGTTTAATTACGCTGTTTCCGAACGGGGAACAATTGTCCATCCAAAAAGTTCCGGTGATCCTCCCCTGTAATGTACATATTTGATACAATTTGTGCGGTTAGATTCACCCTTATTTATTAAAAAATTGCTCCTTCTAGCTTTATTTTGTCAATCCTGTCAGTTATGTTTAAAATACCTCACCGCCAGTTACTCTGATCCTGAGCTGAACCCTCCAGTTTGATTTGTGCTGCAAAATTGTGGCTGATTGTTTTAGACACTACTGTCCGTCATTTTCACTAGTTCGCAGCGTCAAATTTAAGGTCGTAAATTACTTAAGATTATGTTAAATCTTCGGATCCTTAGTTGGCTAGATGAAAGATCATGATGGGATTTCACTCTTAATTGTTTTGTAGAATTATTCTTCGTAATAAATTTATCATTATGGCGCTTGTCGACTGCATTATCTAGTTTCCGAAGCGCTAACGCCGAATTTGTGTACTTTTACCTAGGTTGGAATGGATTCGCAGATGAACTTTTGTGTTCACTAAGCTCTTTTGATTCGATTCCTAGTAGACGGTTGAGAGGTTTGCTCTCTTCTAGTTTTGCTGCAAACTTGAATGTGTTATTATTTGATGCTAGTGAATAGGCATCTATTCTGCGCAACATTTCCTATGGTGAATTTGTTTTTAAGGGATACAAGCATAGGGGCTACTTCAGTTCCTCCAAAAGCACGACTTGCGTTGAGCAACCATTTTGCATAGGTAGTCATTTTTAATGCGTTGTAATTATTCAAAAGGTTTATTGTGGCATTGGGTAGTACGGCTTAGTCTCTAGGGACATACGGCGTTGCAAATCTGACCCTAAGGATTGTGCTATTCTGCATTTGGAGAGCGTGATTTAGGAAGTAGAAAGAACATCTCTTCTGCTGGTCATAGAATATTTAAAATCTCTTGTTAAGTAAAAGCCATATTGCTTTGACCTTAACATGGCTACCATTTGATCAGCTTTAAACAGCATCATCTGATGCCAGCGCTGGTCCTGGCTGTGAGACACCCTGTGATGGCTCTACTGTATATGGTAATTATGTACGTTATATGCACAGAATCAAAGGAGGGGTGGGAGATCAGGAGAAATGGTGCACTCGAAATGTTTCGAAAAATACGAAGGGAGTTTGCCAAGCACATAAGTGAGGCTCACCATTAACAGTCCACTTTTATCACGCGAGAGTAAGGTCGTGCGGAAGTGCAGGAGAAGAATGTCACGACACAGACAACAAAACAGACAAAATTGATAACTTGGGTGAGAGAACCAAAGTGAATGCTATTGCAGGACCGCCAGGAAAAGGGTGCGCAGAGGAAGGTAACAGTAGTTTTCCCATTTAACGAATAAGGGATTGCTGCGAACTTTGATTAGCAGAGGTTCCTGAATCCCAAGATCGAAAGCCAGAGAAGTACCCAAAACGATGACGATGAGGGAGATGCCACCAGTGATAAGTACGTATCTCCACAGCGGAGAGAGAGTTCTGCGTTGAAACCTGTCCCCACTTTGTGCTTTCTCCTCTGATTTTCCCTCATTACTAATCTTAGGGTTATCGTGCAAAACATCAGAGGGACGATGATCTGGACTTCTT